TGAAGGAATGGGATTACTCTGATTTGATCCAACCCCATCTCCGGAGTAAAGGAATAGGTCAGCTTTCATCACAGGCCCTAATGGCCTATTTTTCGTTTCTACTTTTTGGCACCCTGAGCCAACAAGACTTCCTGGGGTGACTGCAGTCACATGATTAGGACAGCAATTTTTGGCATAGAGTAGTAAATTTAACATCCTTACTTGGATGTCCCATAGCAGTTCACACACAGTATGTTTAAAATTAAACTAATCAACTTCTTCTGAACTAGCTCCTATAAACCCAATCTCAGTATAATAATAAGACATGGTCACCGACTTTATAGTAATTGTGTGTGAAAAGAGATATCAAATAGGGAATCAGCCCATAACTACAGGTATTTTTAATCATATGAGGAAGATAAATAAATGAAAATAGTTCTTATTCTCTGTCTGGTTGGCATGTTTAGTGTTAATTTTCCCCTTATGTTACTTAGTAAATTTACATTAATGTGTTTATTTAACATGTCAGTTATCAATAAGAGATTTGCAAAAAGAAGTTATGCTCAGCAACCCTCATATGTGGTCTCCTGTGTGGAGGTTTTATTACTGGTGTAGATATGTGTTCATGCCAGCTGCTTAAAAAATGCATGGTCTCTGTTTATGGATGATCTTTCACTAGAAGTTACTGTATCTTATACAAATACATTTGTTTTGTCTGTTTTAGATTTTTAAAAGGCTTTCAGGGAGCAGTGTCCTCATTAATCTTAATTAAGTAGTATGCTGTTAGTTAGCTTAGTATCTGCTACGTGCCAGGCAGTATCATTATGCTAAGTGCTAGAGATACAAAAATAAATACACACTGCCCTCAGAAAGCTTACAGTTTAATGGGGAGGTTAGATAAACCAGTAGTCTGCTATAATACAGTCTGACAGATGCCATGGCAGAGGTGATCACAAATTGAAATTAAATTTGTTTAATGATTGCACTGTGAATTATGGTTAAACTGATCTTTTTAATTCATAGAATCTTTCTTCAGTTCGTGTGGTAGTTTACATAAACTAAGTGAAGAGCCACTGATTCCTCCTCCACTTCCTCCTCGAAAAAAGTTTGATCATGATGCTTCAAATTCCAAGGTACTCAATTGGATGAAGGGTTTGCCTTATCTCATTCAAAGTTGTAAATCTTTAAAACTGTTTATTCTTATAAAGAGTCTCAGTTAGAATCTGGTGACCCTTCATGGTTTTTCAATATTTGCATGGTTTTATTTGAAAAATAGTTTTAGAGATATTATTTATTTATTTTTAGGGAGAGGAGAAGGGAGGGAGAAAGAGAGGGAAAGAAACTTCATTGTGTGAGAGAAACTTCATTGTGTGAGAGAAACTTCATTGTGTGAGAGAAACAATGTCCATTGATTGCCTCTCAACATGCCCCCAACTGGGAACCTGGCCCATAACCCAGGCATGTGTCCTGACTGGGAATCAAACCAGGACCTTTTGGTTCGCAGGCCAGCACGCAAATCTACTGAGCCACATCAGCCTGGGCTATTTGAAAAATAAGTAGTTATTTAATTCTCATAATTATTTTTCTTTTTAAAAAAAAGAAAGAAAGATTTTATTTATTTGTTTGTTTGTTTGTTTATTAGAGAGGGGAAGGGAAGGAGAAAGAGAGGGAGAGAAACATCAATGTGTGGTTGCCTCTTGTGCACCCCATGCTGGGGACCTGGCATGTACTCAGGCACGTGCCCTGACTGGGGATCAATCTGGTGACCCTTTGATTTACAGGCCAGCACTCAGTCTACTGAGCCACACCAAGCCAGGGCTTTTTATTTTTTAAATCCTCATAATACTTTTTCTTCCTCATAACACTTTTAAAATGGCTGAGCAAATTCACAGATACTCAGAAATACATTTTCTTTCATGTAGAGATAGATATAACTTTATTATTCAGAGCATTCTTCAAACTTTAGGGTGCTTCAAAATTACCTGGAAGCCTTGTTAAAACCAGATTGCCAGAGTTTCTGATTTAGTAGGTCTGGAATAGGGCCCAGTAATTTGCATTTCTAACAAGTTCCCCAGTGTTGCTGATACTGCTGGATCCTGGATCACAGTTTTCAAACTGTGACTCTAAGGCTCACTGGGAATGGTAGAAGAGGATGGCCAACAACTAGTAGCTGGATATTAAGTCCTCTCAACATTATGTTCCTCCATGTCTATAAAACTATATATTCTTTTCATTCATTTTCCTATTATTATCATTAAAGTTCATAAATTTAGCCCTGGCTGGTGTAGCTCAGTGGACTGAGCGCGGGCCTGGGAACCAAGCAACCACGGTTCGATTCCCAGTCAGGGCACATGCCTGGGTTGCAGGCCAGTTCCCAGCAGGGGACCCACGGGAGGCAACCATACATTGATATTTCTCTCCCTCTCTTCTTCCCTTCCCCTCTAAAGATAAATAAATAAAATCTTTATTTTAAAAAAAAGTTCATAAATTTATGAAATGTATATACAAAGCAAGATAACCTAAGGCATTATGTTCTAAGATTTCAATTAAAACATCTCAAATATAAAAATATTAAACTGGGCCCTGAATTAAACTGGGAGTAATTTATTCATAAATCTGATCATGAAATCAAATTAACCTATTTTGAACCTCTGGATTCAACTTGACACATACGAATTTTTCATCCTTTTAAAAACTTTTTGTTACAGATTTTTCAGTAGAACAGAAGTATAATTTAATTGCTTTTTTTAAAGGGAAATATGAAATCTGATGATGACCCCCCTGCTATTCCACCGAGACAACCTCCTCCTCCAAAGGTAAAGCCCAGAGTTCCTGCTCCTACTGGTGCATTTGATGGGCCACTGCATAGTCCGCCTCCGCCGCCGCCAAGAGATCCTCTTCCTGATAGCCCTCCACCGATTCCCCTTCGGCCTCCGGAACACTTTATAAACTGTCCATTTAATCTTCAACCGCCTCCACTGGGACATCTTCACAGAGATCCAGACTGGTTCAGAGACGTTAGCACTTGTCCAAATTCGCCAAACACTCCTCCGAGCACACCCTCTCCAAGGGTACCACGTCGATGCTATGTGCTCAGTTCTAGTCACAGTAATGTTGTTCATCCCCAAGCTCCCCCTGTTCCACCAAGGCAGAATTCAAGCCCTCACCTACCGAAACTGCCACCAAAGACTTACAAACGGGAGCTTTCACACCCCTCATTGTATAGACTGCCTTTGCTAGAAAACACAGAAACTCCTCAATGATCTTAGCCATGCGTAGTCATTGACACTGGAATGGTATTTGTAAAGTTCTTTTTTAATTTATTTAAAAAACGGCATAGTATTTTAGTACTTTTTACAAATAATGCTCTTAAAATACAGCTGATCAAATAAGCTTTTAAAAATTGGAAAAATAAAAATATAAAAGTCCTTTGCCATTATCCTCAGGTGATCAGTAGCATTGCCTTGTCTTGGATCCTCAGTGCTGCCAAATGGCCAGTATAAAGAATTTATATTTGCACTGTAGACTCTGCTAAAAATACGATTTAAGGTGACATTGATTGCACTGAAAAGGGACAGTACATTTGTGGAATTTTTCAAATTTGAGTAATAACTGCCTTTTTAAGGCAATAAATTTACACAAATATAGGGGTGTGTGGTGTTAACTGATTTTTAAACCTCTTTCACCATCTTCCAGTTTTTACATTTAGGAGAGAATTGTAACACCCACTATTCTTAAACTCTTTAATGCCATGTCTTAAATGCCAGAATTTGCTGCTGAAGACAAAAATGAAAAATAGAGTGAAAAGAATGGGATGCACTATGTTTATTATTTTATCAAAATGTCAACAAAAAGACTACCTAACCCAATCTTAGAGGAGAAAAGGGCATGTATCTTATTCAGATGTGCCTTTTGTTTTTGCAGACTATGGTGTCTTTAGCAAATGAGTTGCCTATTGTTTTGGAAATCAAACAATATGCCATGTGTGTACAGTTTTGTTTATATTGTATATTTAAAGATAATGCTAATAACTATGTAAATTTTAATGACTCAAGGCCTATAATACATCTGCTACTTTACTAATTCATAAATTCAAAGGACAAGTTTCCTGCGGCATAGGAGTCAACTGCCTTGCCTTCAAAACCTAGTAACTTTGTCTATAAATCTTGTGTTAACTAGAATTTTCTTAAATATTTTTAGATTGGTAATATTTAAACCAGCAAATACTTAAAGCTTTATTAAACTTTTTAATCAGAGAAATGAGTAAAACTTTTACTTGCCATTTGGACTCCTTTGTTCAAAGTGATAAAAAAAGTGTGTTTTGCTGATAGTGCCCTAACAGCAGTTTTAAGGTAGCTGAAAGCCACATTGGTTATTTACTGCTCTGTGGCCTTTTACTGTGCTTTGTATCAGAGTTCTTAACAAGATCAATAAATCACCCCAGTCTTAATTTTTAAAAGGCTTTTAAAAGTTGTGTTTTCACTATAAGGATCAAGGGGGTAGATTACTGAGTTCTGTAGAAATATTTGTACATAATTTTCAATATTTTTGTACAGTTTCAGTTACATAATCCCAAAGCATTTAAGTGATGTAAAGTTTAGAGGGATAACGGTCTTCACTGCTAAACGCAATTAGCGAGCCTCTAGCAACCATTTTTTTGAATTTTTTGAAAAATTAGGAGCATACTGGCAACTTTTGATAAGCGTGATTATAGCTATCCTCGGTAAACTCTTGGAAACTGCCTGGATTTAACGCCAATAATAGCTGTGTGAGATAATCTCCAACCAGGTAAAAACGTCGAGGTGGGCTTGCCTTTGTTTTTTAAAGAGCATATTATTGTACTCTCTTTGACTGGAAAAATGTTTAAACCAGACTTGTAATTTAGGGGAGAGGGAGGGAGGCAGGCAGTCCGCGCAGAGGAAGCGGTGGCCAGCCCTCGGCCACGCCCGATAATGCTGCCATCCGGGCTTTGTGCCTTTGCTTCGGAATCCAGGGGCCAACTGCGCCACTAGGAGGCGCCGGGCTCTTCGCAAGGCCGGGCCTCTGGGTGATGCGCGTGGGTGTGACGTCACTTCACGCGCCGCCTCCTGTTGCCGGGCAGCAATGGAGGTTACTCCAGAGTCCTCTGTGGAGGATCCAATGCGGAACTTCGTGCGGATTTTGGAGAAGACAGATGGCACGGTGCTGCGGCTGCAGCAGTATGGCTCCGGTGGCGTGGGTTGCGTGGTTTGGGACGCTGCCATTGTCCTTTCTAAATACCTGGAAACGCCCGGGTTTTCCGGGGATGGGGCCCACGCGCTGAGTCGGCGGTCGGTGCTGGAGCTGGGCTCCGGCACCGGGGCCGTGGGGCTCATGGCCGCGACCCTCGGGTAAGAGCTGGCGGGAGGGCTCTACTTTAGGAAACTGATTACTGGCTTCTCACCCTTCTGCCTACACCTCAGTCGACGTTATTTTATAGGGCAGATGTTGTAGTTACCGATCTTGAGGAATTGCAAGACTTGCTGAAGCTGAATATTAATATGAACAAGCATCTTGTCACTGGTTCTGTTCAAGCCAAGGTACTGAAATGGTTTGTATGGCCTTTTGGCTTGTTTTAATAACGATTTGTAGTTTGCTTTAAGTTGTGTTTTGTGGGTTTTGTTTTTAAAACAAGGATTTTTAAATTATTAAGGTAACAGTTATAATATTTGGTCGACATTTTTAAGGGGGGAAGAAATAGAAGACTTTACTTCTCCGCCAGACTACATACTGATGGCCGACTGCATATACTACGAAGAGGTAAATATTCAGTGAGAGAAATCTCTTGAGAAGATGTACCGTATTACCTGGATTCTGGAGCACACATTTTGATATACCTGAATGCAGGATATCATCACCGGGGACCACGTATATACACTTGTGTTTAACATACAGGTCTATGAATCATGTTGAGAAAAGTGTTAGGTGCATTTTATTAAAGGCTTCTGTAAAGTTTTTAAAGAATTTTTGTTATTAGGGTTTGTTTTTTAAAAGCTTTTTTAACTTAGCTGTTGCTAGTGAACGTATAAAGAATGACATTGAAAATTAAAGTCATTCTGTGATAAGACTTATTAGATTCAATGATTTTTAAAAATTATCAGTTTGTGTATAGCAGACATCACTTGTTTTTTTCATTATAATTATTGAGTCAGCTTATGTTCAGGTTACATCACGCTTGCTTTTGTAAGTAAATTGCTGATTATTTAAATCCCAAGTTAAATTAGATTAAATAAAATTAAATATTTAATAGTGAAGTTATTTCCACTTGTTTTCCCATGGGAACTCAAAAATAAAGTTACATGACTCTATGGAAACTAAAGTCAATACAGTGGTTAAGAGGAGTTTACTAATCATTAGTTAGAGTCTTTATGTTCTTTGTTGGATTGATGCAAAAATGGGTAAATTGTAGGGGAGGTATAATTACATGCTCTACCTTCCCTAGACCTTTTTACAATAAAAATACATATTTTTTAAAGTCACAAACAAAAATTATATTCTATTTTTGAACAGTCTTTGGAGCCGCTGTTGAAAACTCTAAAAGATCTCAGTGGACCTGAGACTTGTATTATATGTTGTTATGAACAGCGAACAATGGGAAAAAATCCAGAAATCGAGAAAAAATATTTCGAGGTGGGTACCCTACTAGATTGAACTTTGTAGTGATTATTCTTCAGGGAAGTGCTGTGTGACTGTGTTCAAGTATATTATGAACAAGTATATTATGGTGATTTTGAGCTGGGAAAACATTCTGCTTTTAAGAACCCAAGGAGGATTCTCCAAAGCCCACCATTCTGCTAAGCCCCTTCCCTTTTTTCATCTTTTTGAGCCTTTTTATTTTCTAGTAAGTTGATCTAGTATATACAGAACAATGGAAAATAGTGGTGATGATGCCCTTGTCTTTTCTGAGAAAGTTTGCAATGTTTTTTTTATTAAACATGCTGGCTTTGGGGAACATACTACTGAGATATCTATTACTGTTGGAGAATACATCATAGAAAATGGAATGGGATGTTTTCACTTATGTTTTCCTCTGCATTTTTGTGAAAACTTCAACCGAGATATCTTATCTGTTTCCAGGCTTTGATATTGTTTTGTTTTTTAAAATAAAAACGTACAGGAGTTTGGCAAAGTAGTACATAGAGTCCCATGTATCTTTCACCCACCCTCCCCCAGTGGTCACCCAAACCATTTTTATGGACAGAAATCTATCATATTACAAATGACTCCTCTTGCAGGTACAAACATATAGCCCTGTAGTTTTATCCACTGAAAGGACTTTGGTTACACGAGAAAGCAAACATGTGACTCTGCCTCAGATACAGGCTGAAATTTTTTTTAATGTTTTTCTTGAATGTTAGGAATATTAATGAACTTCTGAAACTTTATCATTGAAAGTTTTATACTGTTAAACAGTTTCAATTGAGTTTAAAAAATGTAGGATGCACATATATCAAGTGCTCAGCTCAATTTCTAATGTGTATACACCCAAATAACCACTACCCAACATAAGGATATGGAACATTTTTATGACCACAAAAGGCTCCCCATGTTCCCCTTTCCCAGTCAGTACCACAAATAACCAGTATTCTGACTTCTGTCACCATGGTATAGTTCATATTATTGAATTTGAAGTGTATCTCTTTTAAATTTATAGCTCCTTCAACTAGACTTTGACTTTGAAAAAATTCCTTTGGAAAAACATGATGAAGAATATCGAAGTGAAGATATTCATATTTTATACATCAGAAGGAAAAAATCGGTAAATACATTCCTGCCTCTTTATCCTCTGAAGGAGGTTTCTTTAGCTGGATGCTGTTTCTGAGCTCATGTGTGATGTAGATACTGATTTTCATGTAGGGAAATAGCTATGATGATTCACTGGACTCAGGTGTTAAGTCAATGTTAAGGTCACTTTATTTGGCCTTGGGTTTTTCCTCTAAAATAAGGAAGACTTCTTCTATAAAGGTCCTTTCCAGCTATAAATTATATAGCTTTATAATTGGGCATTACCTCGGACAAGTAACTTAGCTATTTATAAGCTTATGTTATTGGGTTGGCCAAAAAGTTTGTTAGGTTTTTTTCCTGTAGGATGGCTCTAGTAGCACTTAATTGTTTTTAACTTCATTTGAAACAATTTTATTAGACTATATTGTGACAGCTGTCATATCAGCATGCATTGAAAAAACTTATAAAAACTGGTGAGTTTTTGTGCACCCATTTTAATACGGAAGATGGAAGAAAATAATATTTTGGGCATATTATGCTTTATTATTTCAAGAAAGGTAAAAACAACTGAAATGCAAAAAAAAAAAAGATTTGTGCAGGGTATGGAGAAGGTGCTGTGGCTGATCGAAAGTATCAAAAGTGGTTTGCAGTTTCATGCTATAGTTTTCTCACTGGATGATACTTCATGGTTGGGTAGACCAGTTGAGGTTGATAGTGATTAAATTGAGACATTAATTGAGAACAGTCAACATCATAGCATGTGGGAGGTAGCCAACACACTCAAAATACCCAAATAAATATGAAAAAATGTGTCCTTTATTTTACATAGAAAAGTACACGGACTTTTTGGTCAACCCAGTATTTCTTTGAGATTTTTAAGTGCCAGCTCTGACCTTTGTGAACTTTTTCCAACCATTCAAAAATTTTTCATAGTTAAAGTAAAATATAACAACCCTTCCCTGGTGGTCTATTGGTTAAGATTGGCTACTTTCACTGCTGCAACTCAGGTTCAGTTCTTTGTAAGGGAGTTAATATGTTGAATCGCTATGTCGTCCACCTGAAACTGGAATATTTATGTCATCTATACGTTAATAAAATTTTTTTAAAGTAAAATAAAATAAGGCAAATCTGTCCAATAATGAAAAATGCACTCAGTTCAATAGACTTTATCTTATACTCTTTTGCTGCTTCCTTGTTATAACATATTTTATGCAAGTTGCCTCTGTGGTATGTAGAGTTTGAGTCTGTAGAAAGGAAGAATTGTATCCATTTTTTCCAAGCACCTTTTGTATATGTGACTGGTTGGTATAAGGCAGGGACATGATTAATTTTATGAATTTAAGGATGTTAAACGCGTTTTTCTGTTATCTTTGATTGAATTTGTGATGAAGTTTTCTGATTATTGCAGATGTTAGACAAAAGCAAACAACTTGTAATTTGGGGGATCAAGATTAGATGTTAGGACTATAAGGTAAAAGGAGTGGTAGGATCAGTAATTCAGATCAATGAGTGTTTATGTGGCATGATGCTGGAGATAACAAAGATTAAAAAATGGCTTGTGACTTAAGCAAACCAGTTTTAGCTGAAGTTGCATAGTTTTAAAAGTAGAATTTTTTTTAGCATAAAGATTTTGTCTTCTAAATATATAAGGCTTTACTTTGGCAAAGAATCATTTCTCTCTCTTTTTAAGATTTCATTAATTTTTAGACAGAGGGGAAGGGAGGGATAAAGAAAGGGAAACATCAAAGTGTGGTTGCCTCTCATGCGCCCCCTACTGGGCACCTGGCTTGCCACCCAGGCATGTGCCCTTACTGGGAATCAATTCTGTGACCGTTTGGTTTGTAGGCCATCATTCAATCCACACCAGCCAGGGTCTTTTTTAAAAATTGATATAATTCACGTACCACAAAATTCACCCTTTTAAAAAGTGTACAATTCAGTGGTCTTTAGTATATTCACAGAGTTGCGCAACCATGACCACTTTTCCAATTTTAGATATTTTCTTTACCCCAGAAAGATACCCCAGGAAGCAGTCACTTCCTGTTCTGCTTCAGCCCCTAATTTGTGGTTACCGATTTATTCTGTGTCTGGATTTTGTGCCTGTTCTGAACATTTCATATACAGGTATCCCTTGCTTTTCAAAAGTTCACAGTATGCCATTTTGCTTTTATGAAAGACCTACATTAGTATGGTAATGGCTTCTGTAAATGAGAAAATTCTCTTTGGATTTCTTTTGGTTAGTGAACATGGATACTAATGTATGTCTTTTGTAAAAGCAAAGTGGCATAATGTGAAACCGGGGTACTCTCCACTTTATGACATTTCAGCTTGTGAAAGGCTGCATAGGAATTCACAGTGGGGTGGGGGTTGGGGGGAGACACTTGCAAATGAAATCATACACTATGTGGCTTTTCTGGGTCTGGCTTTCATTCAGCACAGTGTTTTTAAGGTCTGGCTATGCTGTAGCACACTTTTTCTTACTGAACTCCCTTTTTATAGTTGAATAATATTTTTTTGTATTCCACACCTTAACCCATTTATGAGTTAATAAGCCTTTTAGTATTTTTCACTTTTTGGTTCTAATGAGTAATGTTGCTGTGAATATTCATGTAAACATTTTTTGTGTGACATATGTTTTCATGTCTTTCGGGTATATTCCTAGAATAGAATTGCTAGGTCATATGGGAACTCTATGTTGAACTTTTTGGAGACTTACCAAGCTGTATTCCAAAACTAGTGTAACATTTTACATTTCCACTAGCAGTGTGCGAGAGAGTTCCAGCTCTGCATATCCTCACCAGTACATTTGTCATTGTCCCTCCTTTTGATTACAGCATCTCAGTGGGTATGAAATGGTATTTCATTATGGTTTTATTTTCATTTCCTTCATGATTAATGATGTTGAGTTTCTTTTCACATACTTAACTGGCCATTTGTATATACTTATAGAAATCATAGGTGAAAAGTTTTTTATATAATCTGGATACTAGACCCTTACCAGATACATAACTTCCAAATACTTTCTCCCATTCTGTGAACAATGAAAAATGTTTTTCATTGTTTTGGTAGTATGTCCTTAAGCACAGAGGTTTTTAATTTTCTACTTAAGATCATGTCAAATGTATCTGTTTTTTCTTCAGTTGCTTGTGTTTTAGATTATCAGCAAAGAATCATCTCTAAACATTATGTATGACTGTTCTTTTGAATTTAGCCATTATTAGGCATATTAACCTAGTATTAGGTACCCAGTAAATACTTCATTTGTAATAATAAGAATTCAGTCTGTAAAGTTTCCTTTTTTTTTTTCCTTATAGAAATTTTCATCATGAAATTTTTAATCATTTTACCCAAGCCTCTAACAACCTGGGTAAGCTAAAGATGTGAATGGAGCATGTGAATATAGCATGGGAAGATTGCGTTCACAGATTTTTCCAGCATGTCCTTAAAGATCTGATATTTAGATGACAACCATCATGGGCTGCAGCAAGACAAAAAGTGACCGCCTGCCCACCTGCCCATCGGCCTGAAATCCAACTTAGTTTACTTTTAGCTCAGCATCAAGTTCTGCTTAAGAGAAACATTGTGTATTAGTCATTCCTCAAATAAAAATAGGTATTGAGGTTAGCCTAAAGTTGGCCAAAGATAAATGGTGAAGCAGCATGGTTGACTTGGTTTATTTTCAGGAAATTAGAGAGAAATTTTATTTAATTTCTAAAGAAAAATACCTATTGCTATATAATAAAGTTTAAATTCAAACCAGTAAATTTTAGTTTATCTTCAAAATAGGTAAATCTAAAAGGTTTTCCTTCTAGCATAATTATACAATGATTTTTATCATATGTGTCTTCCTCATTAATTTTATGATAGCTTTAATACTTAAATGTTCTTGTTCATTAAAAAAAACCTGAAAATGTTTTGTATACTTACATTGGCCAAAGTTTTAATCTTTTCTTCCAGTATACATGTCTACTTGAGTTAGATAGTAAATTATACTGTAGTGAGTTTGTAAATGAAATCAGGAGATTATAAGGGGTGAGAAACTATCATTATAAAAATTTTTCATATGAGAATAAGTGAGAATAAAAAGCCTTTTCAGGCTCTTGTACTTATGTGGCTCATGAATGACAAAGAATTCCATTACATTTTTTCCGTAAAATAAGATACATTTTTCATTTTCATCAATAACTTTATTGGTTTGGATATTTTGAGCATGTTGGCTATCTCCCACTATTGGCTTCTAGTGGGTAGAGGCCAGGGGTGCTGCTAAACATGGTCCAGTGCATAAGACAGCCCCACAGCAAAGAATTATTTGGCCAAAATGTCAGTAGTACCAAGAAACTTGGCAAACCACTTTTTTTATACATTCAGTCAGTCACGGCATCTCCATACACTGCACAAATCTTTTTTTTTTGCATTTGAGTTGCATTTTTATCTTTCTTGGAATAAGAAAGCATAATACACCAAAAATGTTGCATATTTTCTTCCATCTTCAATATTGAAATGGCTGCATAAAAATTCACCAGTTTTAATTTTTTTTAAATGCACGCTGACAATGATTGCTGTCACAGCACAATCTTAACAAACTTGTTTCGAATGAAGGGACAACTAAGCACTACGAGAGCCGTCTACAGAAAAAACATAATAGACTTTTTGGCCAACCCAATATATCTTCTTGGAAAAAGTGGCTAAAAATCACTGGTGTTAACTTGTTTACGTGAAACAAACATTTGTAAATAACCACAAATGTAGTTCTGTATACATTTAGCAAATGATTTTGATTCTGTGTAGTCTTTTTTTATGTCATCATGAGAATCATTTGTTCACAGGCTGATCTGTCTAGAACTTGTCTCACCAGTTCCAAAGAGTAATAGTAAATGATAAAATAATGGTACTTACAGGCATTGGTGCTAGCTAGGTTGCACATTTTATGTGTTAAAATAAACTTTCTTTTTGAGATCCTGTGACTTTGTGAATGTTTCAGAAATCATGTTGAAGGAAATGAACATGTAAAGCAGACAACTACTTCCAGAAGAGCAAAACAACCTTCTTTAGAGAAATGAAGGATCAAAGTCGAGAAAATAGTTTTTTCCTTCAGGCCTCAATCTTTAGTTTGTTTTGCTTTCTTTTTCAAATACTTGGTTCATACTGTCCTTAGCATTTTATTAATGGATTTACTAAGCAGTTATTCTAACCTAAATATGTCATAGTTTGTTACAGAGAGCACTAGCTATTATTAGTGAAGTCTTAGGATAAATGACCACTTCCTAGCTTGTTCCATAACATTATGGAACTTGTAAAACTTAGTTTGGTATTGACCAGCTGTAGTAGCCTCCCAGATTCTTCAGATTCTTTTTCACCCTCCTCCCTTTTTCACTATACTTGTGATAGACAGTCTGCCTGTGGGTCTTTGGCCTAAAGTGCCCCTTGACATTCCTCTGTAAAAGGCCAGCTCCTTTACCTTGGACGGGTGCACCTTACACCCCAAAACTCCCTGGAGGAGCCAGTCTGAGGTCAGCCTCCATCCAACTTCACTGGTATCACACCTTTGTGTGTACATCCCTTCCTGTCCTATTCCCAGTCCCTTACTTGACTTAACATCTCCTTAATGAGTTACTTGCATACATTCATCACTTTCTGGGAAACTGACCTAAGTTACTAACTGTAGAGTTAAGTAATTTGTAACAGAGACTCAAATGGGATTTTTTTCCTATTCTGGAATAAGGCCAAAGTGGAAATTAAAAGTTACCAGGTCCCCACATTCTAAGATCAGGGAACTACTACTGATGGTTAGGACCAGTGAGCCCTGCAGGGCTTACTGGCAAGTCCCAGTTCACATAACGAGCCCTGTCACTGATAACCATTTCCCGCATGGTCAGGGAGGCCTGGGATGGGAGAGGTCTTTTACAGGAGTGCAGTGTAGAAGAATGGGGTGTAGTCTAGTCCTTTGGGCTAGACGAGGTGCATCTGCACTTAGAAACCACGGGAGGGAGGCCTGAGAATAATTCAATATTCTCAAAATAATAAGGACAGACCAGCATTTTCCCCACCTGGGCAGATTTGTGTTTACCCAACAGATCAGCAAGTTTGTTGTTTTATCCAAAACATAGGGATGGAGTTGGAGAGGTCATGGGACTGCCAGGCACAGAGGTATTGAAGGTGGATCCTGCCAGCCTGAGAATCGATACATGAATTGGGGGCTAGAAAACTGCAGCAACTTGAGGTTAAAAAGCGGGTGCAACAGATGAGTATGGTGTTGTGCCTCTTAGCTGGGAGTCAGGCAGAATATAACTAACTCAAATTTCTAAGGACAGCCAGTGCAGGGCAGAGCTGCTGAGGGACGAGTCTCTGGCTTTTCACATTAGTGGGGGTTGCAGTGTGCACAGTGAAATCCCTGGGGCACTTATCAGAACACAGTCAATTAGGGATCCCCCACAATAAGGCAGTGTTTCTCAGACTAGACTACACATGGTGTCGCCTGGAAATGAAAAGGAAACAAAAGCCACGTTCAGGTCCCATCCCAGTCCAATTATATCTGAGACATGGTATTTTGTTAAAGGGCTCCACATGGGCTTAATGTGTTGTCTAAACTGAGAGCTACTGCAGTAAGGAAATCTAGCATCTGCTTCCCAAAGAGAAGAGAGCAAAGGGAGGAGAAATACGAAAAACTATCCTTGATTAGAATGGGCCTGTATTTGTAGGGAGGTAAAGACCTTTGAATCCAATGTGGAATCTTCTATTGAAACAGATTTAAAAGTAAACAGGACTGAGCTTTAGAAACTGATTATCTGAAAATTCAGAGAATCTGGCGAAGAAGGTAAAGGTGATTCTACTGAGAATAGTAAGAAGCTAGGGAAATTCCTTGGCAAGTGGAATAGGGAAACAGCTGAACAATCTGGCTGAGCAATTTACAGCCAGGTACAAAAGGCCACCTCCCTAGAGGTAAGATCTAGGCTCAGCCTAGATCAGTTGTATTTTAGCTCCAGGCCCAGAAAAGCAGCAAAACCAGGTGGGTGATGCAAGGACCAGCTGCAGTGACCTCCTGCCCTGGCACCAACCAACCAGTAAAGACCAGAACGCTGAAAGGACACACTTGGAGAACTGCCGAATATTCTGCTAGAAGCCCCACTTCCCCGCCCACTACCACTCTCACACAGGACCCAGTGCACTGCATGCTCTCCCGCTGGGAAGCAGCCAGCGCCATTATGTTTCCCTCACTCCCTCCTCCACAGGCACGCATCTCCTAAACTCAAAGGGTCCCCATAAGACTTGCAACCAGGGGAGAAATGGGCAGCAACAGCTTCTCCCAGGCTAATCCCCTGAACCTGTCCCCAAAGTCCCCTTTTCTCTGACTCCCAGTGAACTAAGGCAGCCCAGCCCAGGCTCTCCTGTTGCTTCTTCTAAGCTAACCCTTTCCTTGTTCCACTGTCCCCAGTTTTATTAAAACTGGGGTTTTATTATGCCTGGGTTAGCCTCATAGTACCCTTTGATCCCAGGTACCCTCATACGTACCTGGAATCGTGTGAAATCTTTCCTATACAAAGTTGAGAACCCACACACTACAGCTGGCCCTGGGCAGACCCACTTAGGGCCAGGCCCCTGCCTGGTAGCACTACTCAAGTGCAGAGGGGAATTCAACAGCTGGAAAAAGAAAACCGTTAACGGGTATAGTCACCAATAATTTGGGTTTCCTCTATGTGCCAGTTATAATGAAAGGTCTTTGAAGCTGCATAGCTCTGATTCTTCACCTGCTACAGTTCATAACCAAGGATCCATAGATCATGTGTTTGGTGGACTTGGGAGTGAAGTTATTTTTAATTCTTTTAGAAAGTACTGTGTTAATAATCCAAAATGATTGGTAACGGGATTTTCTTACACAGCATACCTTTTAAATTTTTCTTACCCTTTTCTTTGAAAGTTTTCTTGTTATATGATGCCAGATACAATATTAAACTCAGAGTACGATGGATTCATTTAAAGAATGAGGGTCACAGAACTATAACTTGTTGTTCTAAAGGTTCCCTGTAGATGGCAATGCTTGACTTTATCTTTAAATAGGTTATAGAAAGGAAGTTGCTAAAATAGAGTATTCTGAAATGGAATCACACTTGCATTCTAAAGGTGAATTTAATTGGACTCTAAAGAATAAACCTACCTTCCTGTTATGAGTTGCTTTCAAAATATAACATGGCCATCTTACTCTGTGTGGGCTGCTATAACAAATTACTATAGATTGGGTGGCTTATAGACAACAGAAGTTTATTTCCCACAGTTCTGGAAGCTGGCAAGTCCAAGAGCAAGGTGCCCACTTCCTCATAAGCTGCTGTTCTCCATGTAACCTCACATGGCAGAAGGGGCAAGTGATCTCCCTGGGGTCCCTTCCTTTTATGGGGCACCAGGCCCACTTATGGGAGCTTCCGTCTCATGACTGCTTCACCTCCCAGAGGCCCCACCTTCAAATACCATCACACTGGGTGAAGAGGTCTCAGTATATGAATCGGGGCAGGGGTCGGGGTGGACACAAACATTTAGACCATAACAATAGGATAAGTGAAACTGGATTTCTTATAAAATTATTTGATTTATCTTATTTGTCCATGGCATTCTGATATGCCTTTTGGATTTTTGAATGTCATTCATAAAGCTACATAAATTGTATAAGTCTTTTTTCCTGCAATCTTCTATGAGAGAGACAGACAGACATTTAAGAGGCTAAATTCAAGTTCAGAAAATTCACCTTTAAAGTACCTTTTTTTATCGCTTCTCGGCCTTTTGGCTAAGATCAAGTGTAAAGTACCTTTTATATAATGTATGGTTTTACATCCAAGGTACTTTGTGGAAGATGCCAGCGTATCTTCCTCACTAGAGTTGTTAGCAGCTTTTACATCCAAACTAAAGCTCGTCTTTGGCTATACCACCCTCCTGTAAGCTCTTTGACTCTCAATTTTTCTTTTGCAAGGAACATCAGAATTTGAGAGAGTAGTTGATTTGTTGGTAATAAACAGTGTAAAAGTAGAATACTCCATTTCCATGCCATAGAGACCGTTGTGCTAATATGAATACGGGGGAAACATCCGCAACAAAATTTTACTGCAAATTAATCAAGTAATGGAAAAGCAAAGTTTCTACTTTACTTAATATTTGGGGTAGGAAAGCAGTAAATTCTCAAATAATTTTCACCAGTTAGGTTAAAACTGTTAGTCATTTCACAGGTTAAAACCATTGTGGTCATCTAAGACATTGTCCTGGTCTTTTGTGTCGGTAGAATTCTGTGAAGATCTAGTGTGTCCGTCGTTTGTGAGTTACATTTTTATGTAAGTCATTATTAATGACAAGGTAGTTTTCAAAATCATAGACTATAAAAATATTAGAGCAGATTATTTCCATGATGTTTCTTCCCATGTGCGTTCTGAAACCAAAGTGCTGTTGAAGCACACAGCCTCTGATGCTGGGTTCTCTGGGTTTGAATCCCGGTCCTGCCATTGCCAGCTGTGTGATCTTGAGGAAGTGACCTGAACTCTGTGTGCCTCGGTTTCCTGAAACGTAAGATGAGGATCATAGTAGTGTCTACCTCATAGTCTGCCATAGGGATTAAATCAGCTTAGTACATACAATGCATATCGGTACCTGGGCAGTAAGTGTTCTGTAAATGTGGTGATTGTAGCAGGGTGGAGTTATTTACATGCGGGGACCGGGGAAACGTGACTGACTGCTGGAAGCCGGTTTTTGTCTGTGCCGCAGTGCCAAAGCTGGGCATCTTGCTCTCAGTACAGAACCCATGTAAACATCACTCCTCCAGCACGGTGGGAGGAGGTTGAGAATCCTGTCACAGTTCTGTTATTTGAACAAGTAAACAATTTTAGAAGAAACTGTAGTAGGGAAAAAATCCTTTGCTCTTCATTTTTATGGTTCTAAAGCAAGTTCCTTGAGCATTCAAAGGCCAATGGAAACAGAAAATC